AGAGAGATGATCGAGAAGTGAGCGTACGACGGTATGCGTTTGCTCACTTCCCGATCTATTGAGCCGACGTGTGACAGTTTCATTGTCACACATCGGCTCGAACTATGAGGATGAGTGATTTTCACTCACCTCATAGTTCTTTTTTAAAGCTAAACTGCAGGGGGGGAAAATTAAAATGTATACACCGCACTGAGAGTGTAAATTATCATTAAAAAGCTGCATGTTATGTGCGGAGAGCAGCTGTACCTTGTACTATGCCAGAATTTAGCGTCATCACTATGGATTGTAGAGGACTGCATGCAGCCTCCACTGTTTGCTGGATGACGCCTAGAACTGCACTTGCACACCTGGCCTCAATAGGAGAGCTCGGATAGGGTTCAGAACATTCAGTTAGTACCCAAACAAAGGTTCAGAACCCGTTTGGCTTCTTGATGCTTTCAGTTTGCTCTTTGGTATGGACTTCCCTTGGTTTCTGCTTTTGTCTGCACTGACCTCAGCTTGGTCCTGGATCACACTTGCCGGCCACCAGCCCGACTACAGCCCTGACTTGCCATTCAGTACTGCTTCCTATTGCCTCTTCTTTTAGCTTTCATCCTTCAGTGACACAGATAATGCACCGCATTCCATAGTAACATAGTATTTGAGGTTGAATAAAGACACAAGTTCAACCTATTGTGTGCATGTATACGGTTCTGCTGATGTGTGCGTATGTATAGGTCCCTGTGTGATATCATTTTTAATAGTACCTGTACCCCTGTATATTGCGGTCCAAGGAAATCGTCCAAAAGCTTATTGAACGATTACACACTCTTAGCTGAAATCACTGCCTGTGGCAGCAAGTTCCAGACCCTGACGGCTCTTACTGAGAAGAACCCTCTTTGCCCCTTGTGCTGAAATTTTTTTCTCCACCAATTTTAGATGGTGGCCTCTAGTCTTTGTTATAGGGTTAACCGTAAAGAGTTTGTTGCTATCCCCGGTAAACATTTTGTACATGAAAATCATGTCCCCCCTTAATCTCCTTACTTCCAACGAGAACATATTTAAATTTAGTAGCCTTGTTTCATAGCTCTGGTCCTCCATGATCCCCTTAATGAGTTTGGTTGCCCTCCTCTGGACTCTTTCCAGCTCAAGGACATCCTTTCTGTGGACTGGTGCCCAAAACTGGACAGCATACTCCAGATGACTTCAATACAAGCCCACACCCCCTCCCGCCCCTGAATGCAAGGAGTCAGCCCAGCTTACATTCCAGTGTCCTGACAGCGTCCTGTTCTCCCGAGGTGCTCGTGTGGCCGACTTTGCACATGGGGAGAGGTGCCCCGCCCCTTTCCATCTGCAGAGTCTGACGCATTCAGCCGGCAGCCGCACGAGCAGCGCGGGAGCATAGCTTTAGCCAGCTCATTTTGCGTCCGAGGCAAAAACAAAAACGTATAAAAACAAAACCCCCCCCAGGAGCTCTGTAGCCAATGCTCCTTAAAAATGACAGCTGCCTCCTAACTTGGTATCTGTGCATCCCTACATGTAAATATTTTCACTGAAGATTTCAAATATGGTTTGCACCTGTAAAGTATTTGGACAGATCATCCGTAATAAACTTCCCGACCCCTAAATGTGGTACATTATCTATAGAACCCGGTGAGCAGAGGCAGCCCCTGGGTTCTTAGATGTCTTGGATACTCAAACAGAAAGATCTTCCTGCCAGAATTCCCAAATCTGTTGATGTCCTCCTGACTGTTTTGGGTGTTCCTGTGTACTTTTGCATGTTCTAGTTCCTTCTTTATTCCCCATAAAATAACAAATGAATGCAGCAAGGCGAATGGGAATTCTCATAATGGCCGCCCAGCAGACCGAGGAACTCATATTTTACCAATGTCCATGAGAGATAAACGGAAACTGACAAATGTATTCTCACTTTCACATTCAAATTTGAGAAAGCCCCACTTTGTTTGTGATGTGTTCCTATTCACACAGCATATCCACAAATCATTTCCAAAAATATATATCCTAACTTTCCTAATTGTTTCTTTGGAGGCGGTTTATAATAGGACACTAAAGGCAGTTTGCAAGCTATTCTGAACAATTTAAAAATGTGCCCCAGATTAGAATACGGGGCTCCGTTAGAAAGATTTTTCTTCACGTCCTGTACTACCAAATATTTACCCTGACGGAAGAGAGGGAAACTCTTCAACAGTAACAGACAGCAAAAAAAACAAACATTTTTTCTCTTTAAATAGAGTAGGGAAGATTAGAAGTCTTGACGGTGGTTGGTTGGTAGGTCTGTGGCAGCTTGACTCGTCGATGGTGCTTGGAAGGGGTCCCTTCAAACATGCGAAGATTGTGGAGAGCACTGTGTGAACAATGATCACTTTATAGCTATACGACAATAAAACAATGCCAAAACTTTGTCGGGGGATTGGGACTTTCCCTTCTTTTGGGTTAACATTGGGGAAGGAAAAGGTATTCATTCTGAAAAGTGGAGAGCCCCTATTACCCAGAATGAATTGGCTAAGTTTTATACTATTCACCAATAAAGTGATCATTGTTCTCCAACATGCTAGACTTTCAAGACCTTCTATTCACGCATTGTGCTCCTCACCTACAAGATTTTAATTTCTACCTGTTGTGTTAGTAGCTATTCACAGTCGTGATAACCAAAGTCATTTTAGCCAGAATTATACTTGTAAATTGGAGTTGCTATTTAATTAAATTGCAACTTTTACAACTAGAACTCGGTTGGCTAAAAGGATTTTGGTTATCACGACTCCAGCTAGCTCTTTACACATGGTGTTTTGGGTGTTCTCTCAATTTCTGCCTGGTAACATATTTGCCAGCAGGAAGTGAGGGCAAATCTTCCTTAAATAGCCCCAGATAGCAGTAAAACTGACAAGCGTTCTAAACCTTCCCTACTCTATCCAAAACTTAAATGGTTTGGCTACATTAAGTCTTTTATTAGTTACACCTTTAGCGCTTTGATATATAATTTTCTCGATTGTTGATAGAATTCCTCTATCCTCTTTCTAGAGCGGCTTTAGGTCTTAATTTATTATACATTTCCACTTTAGTCTCCTTTCCAGAAGCGCGGATTATCTATTTCTTACTTTACAACACACACAGGGACCATGGGGAGCAAAACTAGCCACCCTCTAGAAGGAAGGACAGTGTCAGCAACAATTCAGAGATGATTTGAGGATCTACAGCTGAGTGATACACAAATAAGATACATTTTTGGTAATAGTTAGTGCACTTGAATGCATTTTTAAGATTTAATTCCTGAGTTTAGTGTCACTTTAACTGCTACAGGCTTGTCCAAAATCCACCTACTTCAAGTCTTCAGTCTGTAAGACATACCTAAAAACAAAACAATAAAAACACCATCCACTAAAAAGGTTTTAAAAGGTTTATTTTAATTATAATTCTTGTATAACCAAGCAGTTCATTAAAGAGAATGCACAGAAAAGTCATTCCAGCACTTCAGAATGTTAGAGAATGTCCTCAACGTCCCATGCCCACCAAGTTAACAGGGGGGGCAGAGGCATCAGCTTCTAAAGTAACAGAAAAAAAAAACTATTTACATTAATATTATGCTTGTGACACTAAGTGGGGTCTAGATGTCTCCTAGTTCTCTCAGCTACGTGGAATTCTACAGTACACAATGGTAGTGAAAAGCATACGTTGTACTGAAATGAGGGACTGAGCCGAGATGGATTCTGGGGCATGCAAAAACAAAGAAAACAGAGGTAATAAAAAAAATAAAAATAAAGCCACAAATACAAACAGAAATTAAATAATAGTTCATTAAAATGGATGAATTGGGTTCTGTGCACACAAGCAGTATATCTATCCAGTGCCTCTTATGATTTGATCTCTCCTGCTAAAACTAAGAATGACCTCTGGGGTCATTAAAAAGAGTATTTTTTCCCATTTAGACAAGAACCCACCAACATTCACCTCTGCTACACTCACCCACTGTGCCATTGGCGCCCTCAATAAATACTAAGTGTTTCTGGGTATTGAGGAGCATGTGATTTTGCAGCATGGAGTACTCAGGCCAGAGTGGCCAGTTGCCAGGCCCGAACACTGTTTGACTAGCCCCGTGTAACCTCAGACATGGAGCATAGAGCTTGGAGTTTTAGCTTCAATGAAAAAATGGAACAGAAGGGGAGTGCAGAGAAGGTAAGTGTCATGGGTGGGGTGTTGTTCTTTTAAGAGAGCCCATTACTTAACCTTGAATGGGCAAAAAAGCTCTTGGTAGTGGTCATGAATTAGGGTGTCTAAAAAGTAAAAAAAGATAAAAATTTTAAAAATTAGGAGTCATTGTAGTTCTGACCCAAATGTAGCATAAAAACATGCGAGTACAGCCCCTGCCCTTTCTGGGATCAAAAATAAGGACTGCGGGACCAAAAATAAGGACTGCACTACCAAACTCGGGCCATTTGGGAGTTATGCAGAAAGCATTGCAATGGCCTTTTTTGTTGACCGTTCTAGACATCAGTGTTTCCAGTTATGCCAACCCCCATTCCCCAGCTTATCAGGAGAAGTACAAGGATAAGATTCTACCTGTGTACACAAACCTTGAAACTTTTGGGAAGCTATTAAAAAGGCACTTTGAGAATAGGGATCAAATTCTACGTAGACAAACGGACAATGCACTTTTCTTTTTCGTTTCAATTTGTCATTTTAGGAAAAAAAAAAATTGGAAAAAAACAAAAAAAGAAGTTTAATACCAAAAAAGTTCAAATCACAGCTTTTTTGTGTAGAAATACATTACAAAATGGAGTAAAGAAGGTCAAAGCAGGTTATAATGCAAAACAAAAAAAAGTTTTTCTTTTTTTACAGCCTCATAATAAAAAATAAAAAAAAGCAGGGCCTAAGCAAAATGTCAGTTGGTGTACGAGTATCAATGCATAGCCTTTCGTTTTTTTTCAAAAATGTCCACATTATGACACTGAATATCAATTCCACTGTACAATGCTGAGGTACAGTGAGCACTGTGATACTATTGGTTTTCAGAACTAAAAACTTGTCACATGCTCCCCATCTCGGGAGGTTAGTGGTCAGAACCTATCAAGAAAAAAAAAAAAAGTTTTGTATTCAAATCTTTAGCCATTGGTTAAAAAAAGACTGAGATAGTGCTACACTGGGCTATCATTTCTTTTCACGCACAGTTACGATTCCATAAAATCCACTCCTTGATTCGAATTGCAAAAAAAAAACATTTTTTGAAACCAGTCGCTAATGAGTTCCTCTGTTCCAGTCAAACCCCCGACCCTACAAATTAAATATTTCCAAAGAAAGGATATTTGGCAATTTTTTTTTGAGCCCACTTTGTGGTACGTCAATTCATTTCATGTTGAAAGCCAAAAGCGGCCGTTCCTCCCGCTTTTGCCAAGGACTTTTTTTGTTCTCTCCCTGGTCATCAGAACAATCATCGTTGATGGAATACTCGTGATCGGGGCTGTTTAATGGCACGGGTGAGGAATCTTCAGTTCGTTTAACAGTTTCTTCCTGAAGGCTGGGCAACTGGCTGCCGCTCCTTTTTGGAGGTTCAGTAAAAGCCCGGTTATCTTCAGGGCTGCACACAGCTGTGCCGCATTCACTACCGCTTTGGTCCATGTCATCCAAATAAACCAGCTGAGTGTAAGCTGAGCTCTCCGACACCTTCTGATCTTTTTGCTGGTGCTCCATTAGGGTTTGGCGTTGCTGCTGTAGGACGCCAAATTTGTCTCCTCTTCCTTTTCGTCCGGATTTTGGTTCGTTCATGTCGACACCAGAATCCAAACTGGCATCGTTGCTGCCGTTTTTTCCTGCTCTTTGGAGATCGACGTATGAATGTCTTATGTGTGCATTTGACCGACCATCTAGAGACACAAACCAGGCACGGGGATGGGGCATTGGTCGACCACCGCCAAGCTCCATCAGAGCTTTCTCTGTCAAGAGCTGCACCTCGCCGTTAAGTTGAGCAATGGTAGCATCATTGAGGGAAGCGGGGATAGAAACAGATTCTGACATCACAGTGTTTTGCCCACTCCACTCTACTCCTTCTCCATCTTGCAAGTGTTGTTGAGATACAGCTTGGGAACTTAGTTGTGAGGATGGCTGAGGATGTTGGGGGTGAGAATTGGACAGCTCTGCTTGGAGCCGCTCAAGCTCGTACTGTTGCTCGGCGGACACGATCAGCTGCTGACTGACAAAAGGGTGCTCTGCTTGAAGTTTCATGTAGTGAGCTGGGATGACCAAGGTAGGCAAGACATTTCGGTAAACACCATCGTTGACTTGATCCACAGAGTTAAAGCATATGAGCTGACCAGGACGAGGAAATGAGGTTGGCCTTTCAAGGTGATCTACAGACCTTGACATCATACATTCATTAGGCCGTCGGTCCATGACCTGCTCGGTTTCAGGAGCGGAAGGCACGGGGTGACTTTGTTCATGAAGGTTTGGCTTGCTTCCTGCTGAAACATTGTTGGTGGACAGCTGATCCTTGTTTTCGCACAAAGGCTGGCAGATCACAGAGTTATAGCTCCGACGGTACTCATCTTTCATGGGAGAGACGAACCCATCTGAGATTTCAGCGGACTTCCTTGATTTTAACAGGAATTGATCCAGAGATTTGTTGTAGACTTGCCTCAAAGTCCCACTTGGGGTCAGGTTCTCGAAGGACATTCGGTTTTTATCATCCTCCTGAGAAAGCAGCTCTTCCCTGGAGCTAAAATCCCGTGAGGTATTATAGGAAGGCTTGAGCATCGGGGTATGCATATCTGCCTCGCCACTTGAGGATATCATATCCATATGGATAGGGCTAATTAAATTGATGTGGGACATGGAGGTGGCCTGGTCCTTCTTGGACGACTCCAAAGCAGAGGAGAGATGAAGCTTGCGGTGATGCTGGCGAGGCTTTATACATTTCCTCCTGACAAAACAGAAAAGCAGATCATATTAGAACACAAGAAAATGATTGTCAAAATTAACGCTTTAGAGAAGGTTTAAACTTGAACTCTAGGTAAACAGCAAAGTACATATACAAATGTCATCTAAGGGAACTGCTTTACCTGCCAAAGGATTTGTATTTCTGCCTGTCCAATCCTGAAGCTTACGCAGCCCAGCCTGGCGAGACAAAATACCTAATCTTCCCTGCTGCAGTTCAGGGATACTTGTAAGTCTCCTCCCCTCCCCACCCTGTGACTAGACAGCAAAAGGAAAAACAATAGACGGATGAGCTCCTCTTTTTCACTCTGTTCTCTTCTCCTATCAGCATTCTTCTTGCACTGCAGCAAAAAAAGGCTCATTGTGCTGCTTCTCCACCCTTCAGCTTGATCTCTGTGTACATGAGACTTCAAGGAGGCAGATTGCAAGTTAAATTACACTGCTTGCATTAAAATATGGATGTATTATTGAATACAGGGTTGCATTGATTTGTGTCTCTTATTTCTAGAATTCTGCTTTAAAATCTCTCCACTTACTGGTAGAGTCCAGTGGTAGAGTGGCTTGAGCCCATTAGCCAGGTAAAGTCGGAGACCTTCTCAGAAATACTGAAATTAGTAAAATTGCAATGAAATTGTTGGTAGCGAAGGTGCTCCAATAGGCATCTATTTAGTTCCAGAAGGGTCAAGGCAGCGTGACTGATTTCAGAGAGGTGAACCACAAGGCCCTTAGCTATCTGCTGTTAAAGAGCTGAGGTCTATGAATCGGTGCACAGCTCCCCCTCAAAGGAAGAGAAAGTTTAACTCTTCGCAAGGGAACCTCTTTAAATAAGATCAAAAGAAACAAAGCGCTAAAGGTAGCTGTATGAGCAAAATAAGATACTATCCTAGTATAAGAAAGCTGGTGAGGACTGGTGAAGCAGGCCAAAATATAGAGGGATACAAGTCTGGCCTCTCCTCCTCTCAAGTTACTAGGTTTGACCCAGGATAAAAATTACCCATGATGCACCTCTTTCATTCCGCTGTATATCTATTTCACGTAGTGATGCCATGGTGGTAATCAAACAACAAGCTCTGGTAACAAAATGGTACTCTGCAGGGATGTTGGTAATGTGTCACACTTTTACATGTCCTCGCATTAAAGATTTTCTTCTGCATTGTTGTGGTTTACATTCCCAAAGTCACCCTTCAGAAGCTATTCCGTCAACATTTCTTGCCCAGGGGACTGGATATCAGTGCTTGTTCTATGTGCAGCAGGGTGACCGGACCCATCAATGCCCCTTGAAGTAGCTCAAATCGGGCATTGCTGACCTCATCACACTCACCGGTAGTAGGATCCTTTTGGCATAGAGCTGGAGTCTCTTTTCGCCCAATCCCACATCTCTTTTCTCTCATCTCCTCCTCCTCGGATCTAGTTCTGCTGATCTGTGTCCAGCAGCTCCTAATTATCTAGGAACCCAGGACACTGATTGGCAGGGCCGGTGCTAGGATACTTGCACAGGCAAGGTGCATTTTTGCGCCCCCCCTCCCCGACCCCCTGTAAAAACAGGGCATTTTGACAAGTACTTGTACTTGTCAAAATGCCCCGATGTTTGCGCTATGGGTTTTTTCGCCGGCCAGCTAAATTAGGACCCAACCTGGAGCTCCTCCCACTGGACCAGCGCTGACTCGCCGCTGCTCTCCTGCACCGAAGGTAAGTGGAAAAAAAAACAAAAAACATAGCGCAAACATCGGGGCATTTTGACAAGTACAAGTACTTGTCAAGATGCCCTGTTTTTTCCGCCCTCACCCTGCAGCGCCCTCAGGCAGCCGCCTGACTTGCCTTGCGGAAGCGCCGGGCCTGCTGATTGGGTTGTGAGGGATCTGCTGTACGGCTTTGTCTGTCAATCTGAAACTGCTCGTACGAAAACGCGATCGCGGACGATAATCAAATTATATTTTAAACGAAACATGCTGAGGCATTGGTCTTATGCTCTCTGACAACGGGGAAGATGAAAACATACGTGTTCCAGCAAAACTACTGACTGGGATTACCCTTGAGTAGCACACCAGGAAAAAAGGTTTTGGTGACTTTTGGTGTATACAAACAAGTTACCTCTGTCCGGTTAATGCCCCCCTCCTCCTCCCTTTGCCATTCACAGCGAGCCTTGTATTCTGTGAATGGGCAGAATACACGTCATTCTGTGAATGGATACAGGGAGGGCAGATAAATGACATGTGAATTCTGTGTATGAGAGACAGAGCTCTCATAGTTGTAGCGATGGAAGTACAAGACTAGCTGTACTTTTTGGCATGAAGTAAACTATGATTTTTTTTTTACACTACAAGGCAGCAATCCAGATTTAGTAAAAGCATAATTACAGGTAACTGGTTTGCACACATCACAAAAAAACTGTGCTCCTAGAGTTCAGCTTTAATATCAGTGCTTCAAACCCCTCCAGAGAAGACTAACCAATGCTGAGGGGCTGTACACGTGACTGGCCACTAGAGGGAGCCCACACTCCAGCTCCATTGTTTTGTGATATTTTCATAAATGACTTGTGCTGTTTTGACTTTTTTTTTTTAAATTTTTTATAATTTAAAAGATGGTATTAAAATGTGGGTATAGACAATAATATAATTAGGGCTGTGAAAATTAAAGATTAATTGTTAAACTTTTTGATCGATTAAAATTATTTTGATCGCTAATGAAAACACTCACCTCTCCGCCGGCTTCCGGGAGTCCTGTCGGCGATCCGGTGACGATACGGACATCGACGTCACCGGACTCCTCCCCTTCCCCAAGTGGCTCCGTCGGCTAACGAAGGGAAGGGGGGAGGAGTCCGGTGACTGTGCTGTACGTGTATAGGCCAATGTAGTTGCATCTGTATGTGCGTTATAATTAATCGAAATTAATCGATTAAAAATTTTTTTGATTAATGGAACACGAAAATTTTAATCATTACCAGCCCTAAATACAATGATTCTTTAGGATATATTTACTACATTAGGCAGCCATAGATTGATCAATGTGGAAAGTCTGGAGTTTAAGTGAAACCTTGAATTGGCTTTGAGTTATTGTGGATAGGGATGCACTGATACTGTACCTCGCCCAAATGCTCCTGATGCTTATCCCGATACCAGAACTCCAGTATCAGGAAGCCGGGTGGCGAGTCATTACACACCGCCTGGCTTCCTTATTGGCCGGAAAGCCGGCTCCATGCTCCCTTGTCACCAGAGAGCATGGAGCTGGCTTTCGGGGGGCCAATCAGGAAGCTGGAGGGCGGGTAATGGCTCGCCGCCCGACTTCCTGATTGACCGGGAAGCCAGCTCCATGCTCCCACGTCACTTGGTGACGAGGGAGCATGGAGCTGGCTTCCAGCCAATCAGGAAACCAGGTGGCGTGTAATGACTTGCCCCCCGCCTTCCTGATTGGTCAGAAAGCCAACTCCATGGCTAATCAGGAAGCCGGGCAGGGAGTCATTACACACCACCTGGCTTCCTTAATGGGACTTCCGGTTTCGGTGAGTACTGAAATAAAAATATGCATACTCGATACTGAAAACCAGATATCTGTGCATCCCTAATTGAAGATGTAAACTTCTTTGAAAACTGGTCAGGTTTCTTCATCAGGAATTACGAAGACTCCTAATGCTTTTCAGAAGTCTACATCTCTAATAAATCAAAGCATCTAAACCCAAGGACAAAAATGTCATATCTTTCAGCAGACAAGTCCTTAGATGAAGTGGCTGCATTCCTTTTCTGTTGCTCATTTTATTTTCACCTGGTGATCCTGCCAATAACACAATTCCTTTCCCAAGGTGCCGATGCTCACTCGCTGTGCTGTATCTATTGTTGCTTTAGTGCCGGACTACAAAACATCTCCCCCTCTCTATAACAGAGAGGAGGTGAAAGCATAGGGAGTTATCAGCTCACAAGACTTCTGGAGAAATCGAAAAGTATATTTTGCATTTATTGGAGAATTAACAGGGCACTTTGAATGGTATATTTACCTGACCAAAAGTGAGCAAATAAGAAGTTCATTGAAATGGTTTATTACACTTTAGGTTAGCCCATAAAGGGCATCACTTAATGCAGGGGTGGGAAAACTCCGGCCCCTCCAGCTACAAACCCCAAGAGGCAGTGCAAGAGTCTCACAGCCACAGACATGAATCCCAGAGAGAGATGCATGATGGGATGTGCAGCTTCGCCACAGCTGGAGGGCCAGAGTTTGCCTTTCCCTTATATGTCTAGGCAAAATAAAAAATAATTTTAAAAAATTGATTACATTAAGCTTGCTCCTGTGATGGACTACAATCTCAATACAAACTAGTAGTCCATTACTGGAGCCATTTTTTAAAATTTATTTTATTGTTTATCCGATTAACCGATTCATCGAACTTAATAATCGGCTAACTAATCGATTTTGAAAATAATCGTTAGCTGCAGCTCTAATTACATCTCTGTAATAGATGCAAATGTCCCCATGTTCTGAATCTTATAAAGTAGAAAACATACCTTTTGATGCTACCATAAATCCAGTGAGCTTTACACTATATTACTGAGAATAAAAGTCACAGCAGTACAGTCTTACCTGCAGTAATAGATCAACAGACAGAAGAGGACCAAGAGGATGAATGCAATCCCTCCTAATATGGCCAAGAGGAAGAGAGTATGGTAACTTGCAATGTCCGGTGTCACCACTGGATCTGAAAAGCAGAAAGAATCATGAAGATTTCTAGATTTTGTTGAAAAATACTATTTGCACTCTGCTTCCAACTAGCTAGAATACTGAAAACACTGTGATAAACTACGCAAAGCAAAATCAGAAGTCCTTATCTGTGATATGAAGTGCTAAAGCTGAAATACATAAGCAATACATATAGGGAAGCTGCATAAAGATTTGTTTTACTGTCCATCCAGTTCTGAGGCTTGCACAGCTTTGCTACACACTACTGCCTTGTCTTGTAGGGCGCTAGGCCTGCAGCATCTTGTGATGATTTGAATTTAGCACCATCATAGCTTGTGATGGCTCAGTGTAAAAGACTACAAGTACCATCTGTCACCGCGGCAGAGGAACTATGCAAAGCATGCTGGGAGATCCCTCCTCCCTTTCCCCGCTCTGTAGTTCTAACCATATTTCCTCCAGCAGGTCTATACCTCCATGCGGACCCGAGGATGCAGGGATACACTGCATGAGCATGGTGCACTGCACCCGCAATTAACTAATTGTGGGTATAATGCACTGCAGGCTTCATTGCAAAAAAGTCGGAGATGCACATTGATCATAAGATTAATGTTGCTGCATTTACTTACTTATCTTTTTGCCTTAAAAAAGCACAGAAATATGAAAAAATATAATAAAAAAACAAAAACAGAATAGGAGTATAAAAAAGATACGCAATAAACAGTATAAGAAAATACCTGGGATGGAAGGAGACATGGCAGCTACCCAATATCCCATCTGTGGGGCAATGTAAGTCCAGGTCAGCTGGTTCCCCTCCTGCTTTATAATGCCAAAGCTGCTCTTCACCCATGCTCCTTGAAGGAAACAAGAAGGAAGAAGAGTTTAAAAATCAATTCCGCACATAATAAAATGATGTCACCATCGTTTTCAGCATCATATATATGTGAAAATCTTCACCTTTTTAGGCTACAATTTAAAAACACACCTTTGCTGCAGATTAAACCTCTTCAGAGATATAAGCAACTGAAGTGATCAAATCTTGACCTTTCCTGTAAACGCCAAACTTCACCCTCATGAGCCTCCCTACTGGTCATTTAATGTGAATGTCCAACAGAAAACTGTAACAGATTCTTCTTCTTTCTCCGAATAGATCCAAGGGATCACAAATGGCTACTTTTTTTACAGCATTCTTCCTTCCACCCGTTTCCAGCAGTCCCTCCAGCGTCGGTGCCGGTCTCTGATCCAGTGCAGACTTCTGTGTCCCACTGAGTCTGTCCGACGTGCAAGCTCCCGGCTGCGTGCATTCACTGACACAGTCTCCCTCCTCTCCTCCCTGCCGGTGACATGGACTGTGCATGTGCCTGCCCACATCATCCTCCTGCATGTCCGTTCAGATCTGTATACTGCAGCCAGGAGCGAGCTTTGCAGACACAGGCAAGTATTTGTCTGTATGGTAACTTTTTTTAATGTTGTGGCATATCTACTGCTTAGTAGCAGTAGATATATGCCAAATAATTTGAGACTTTAATTCTACTTGAAAGAATATCCCATATAACATGACCACCAACCTCATGCCACTTTCCTGTAACATTGGCTATCCAACGCCTATAACATTCCTGGTGCATACTGCCACTAGAACACTCATAGCAAACCTAACCGTTGTATATCATGATCTACAGTATATTTATGCTCAAATATGTTAGCACACCCCATCCTGACCATATTTATATAGAGGCATGTTTAATCTATCACATATACTGTACTTTATGCTGCTAACCATCGCCACTTCACTTGCTCAAAGGTTCCTTCTACTGTTGAACTGTTAAACCTCAATTTAAATAAACATAACGGCACCAAAAACATGATGGACACAAATGTAACCACTAGATGGAGCAGCGGAATAAGAAGACCAATATGGTATCACAGAGAAACATTACTTATACATTTCGAGTCATTTCTAGGTACATTTTCAGCATGTCATGGCCTACAGCCGCAGAGGGGTCTTTTGACTTCAGTAACAGGTCACTGAGCACTCTGGGAGGTGGAAGTAGGTGTACATATTTACCTTATCCTCAGCGCTAAAACAAAATGTTAATTTGGGTTTATGGTGCTGGTGGTGGGGGGTTTAGACACATAAGGGGAGGTAAACTATCACAATGAAGGTATGGGGTGACATTATGGTGCTTAAAGGAGAACTATGAGATGAGTGCTTTTCACTCACCTCATAGTTCAGCCGACCTGTGACAATGAGGCTGTCAGAGGTCGGCTCAGTAGATCGGGAGGTGAGCGAACACATACCGGCGTTCACTCGCTTCTCGATCCTGTCACAGCTCTCTGCCGTGACAGGGGAGGGGCTGGATTCCCCCCTCCCCGCTCCAATCCTCCAGCGCTGACTGGCGGATCGGACGGGGGAGAGGGCGGGTACAGCTGGCTCTGCCTCTAGATAGGCAGAGCCAGCTGTCACTCACGCAGCAGGGCGGATCCAGACAGAATTGTCGGGATCCGCTTCAGCTGCGGCGTCTCAGTATACCGCGAACTGCAGCGTTAGTTGAAGTGTTAACCACTAAGCCACTGTGTTGCCCATATTCATTCGCCCACCCCTAGGTGGAAGTCATGGAACATGTCTTGTTACATTGGCGCTCTGAGAAGAAACAGTAGCTTCACAAGGGGCGGATCAGAATGAGCAGCACTTAAAATGTATGCAAATCCTAACAGTGAGCTTAATTTTTTGCTCCCTTTTGGTCTGTTATATAAACCGTTGAAATAGTTTTCTTATATTTGTTCAGTGAGTGTAGAAAAACGGGTTGATCCTGCCAGAAAGCCAGTGAGAGCTTAACTTCCTGTGCACTCTGCCGCAATGAAATCAAGATCAATATTAATCAGTCAATCCCAGTTCACCTCAGAACTACAAAACAACCTCTACTTCTATTATGAAGATGAGGAGAGAGAGAGAGAGAGAGAGAGAATGAGAGAGAGAGGGGCACTGTGCAAACCAGACACGGAGCGAGCCACCTACAGTGACAAGCTGCTCCTACATACAGTACAGTGAGTAAGCGTTGTCACCCTAGGACAGGAAGTGTGTTACTGGTATGATAACCTGGTTAAAATAAAGGGGGGGGGAAAAAAACAGAAAGCTAACGCAGCCCCTACATCTAAGGACTGGTAAGCTGAAACATGCTAACTGTATTCATTATTACATTTTTGTCAGGTTTAGATACACTTTATAACAAGGAGTAACGTATAGAGACGCAAGTAGCATGTGTCTACAAAAGATGAGTTCTCTAAAATAAGTTTATATTATGTGACATATGTATGGATAATTGGTGGAGTTCCTTTGCAGTAATGCATTTTTAATATGAGCGTTTTCTAGTTTCATGTCTGATCCCCCCCCCCAAAAAAAAAGTCCAAACCTGTGGGCACATTAACAATTTAGTTTTAATTCTGGACTATTATTTCCTATGTCGGTATTTTGTGGTCATCCCAGAATGTAACAGAACGTCACAATCTATGGACAAACTTACAATTTTAATCGAGCTGAACCTTCTCTGCATTAAACATCACACAGTCCAAGAAGGTGGTGGTGGTGGGGCTCCCTTTACTACTGACCTTATGGACATGGGTCTAATGCGCATCAAAGTAGAATACTCAATTCTACATCTGGCCAGGTCAGAGCCCCCTAACCTACTTCCTCTATGTGGTCACACATTGCATTCATATACAGCAGAGTGACCCACATATGGTGGGATTGTTTCTGCCATGTCTGACTGCTAACTGACAACACAATGGTCTAATACTGCAACAAAAGGGACACCAAATGTTCCACTTTCACAGATGCCCCTCTACTCCCTCCTTCTACCATCCATTCCTCTGACAAGTGATGATATAGCAATACTTTTTAAATATTCATTATTAAAAAAAAAAGTAAAATATATATGTACACACACACACATATATATCACACACACGCAGGGGCGTAACTAGAAATCACAGGGCCCCATAGCAAAATTTTGTATGGGGCCCCGTGATTGCTAGTTATGCCACTTGCAGAGCCCACCATATACTCTCTATGGTGGGCTCTGCAAGGTCTCAGTTGGGCTGCACGCCTCTTACCTGTCAGCGTTGTCCACCTCCGGGCCCCCGCCTCCTCTTCTGTCCCTGGGCTCCGCCTCCTCTTCTGTCCCCGGTCCTGGCCGGGCCCCCCTGTGCCCGGGCCCCATAGCGGCCGCCTGGGTCCCTATGGCGATTGTTACGCCACTGCACACACGCAGTGGAGGAAATTTATCAAAACTGGAGCAGACTTGCACTGCAGCCAATCAGCTTCTCTCTCTCATTTTTTAATTTTACCTGGGCAAATTGTTCACTTCTCCTGCCTTCTCCAAACTCTTCACCCTTTTGTGAATAACCCTGGAGATGTCCAGCATCATTCAACCCAGTTCTGAGCTCAGATCATCCTGGATCTAGCCCCAGCCTGTGAGTGGACAGTGAAAGGAGAAGCAGCGCAGTGATGAGCTTTTCTCTGTCACTCTGCTCTCTCTCCTGTGACCACATGAACCGATTGGCTTCTTGTGCTGGCTTCTTCTCAGATTCCAGCCCTGCTGTACAGGGATAGCAAGAGGTTGACACTAGGTCACATTAAGGTACTTACACTGCTTGTATTTTATTTAAAAAAAGGATACATTTACTGATATTTATTACAGGTATGTATATAGGACCGACAATTTACACAGTGCTTTTACATATTTGCACATTCATATCAGTCCCTGCCCTCAAGGAGCTTACAGTCTAAGGTCCCTATATGACATGCATACATACAGGGCCAATTTACCTTCCAGCATGTCTTTGGAGATGTTTACTAAGCTGCATTAATTTGTGTATTTTAGATCTGCTACAACTTCCCCCCATGCCGTGTATTAATTCAGGAGCCACTGGCCAAACTGCTCGGTAATTGTGAGCATTTAATCATCCTTAACGTGTTAAGTAGCCGTTCTTTTGACTCGACAACTGTTCCTATTGTGACATCCGACTGTCCCTGAGTGCCATCTGACGTCTACGGCTTTGTCATGTTAATATTCATGCCCGTGTGTCAGATGTTACCTCAATTCATTTCATCTTCATGTTTCAGCAAATGGAACCGGGCCGCAATGAAAGGGAATCCTAAATGTTTACACAGCTTACGCCGTTTGTTTTCCTGCAGATGTTAAGATATTTAAGAAGGAGGAACAAAAAGGCAAAAAAACTAAATGCAGAGTTTTGTCCGCACAGCATTACTTTGTAGTGGAAATGAGGAAGGGATTAAAGCGAAGGAAAGAAAATGACGCCGCCTTTGTGAAATGATGACACTTGCACGGCTCAGAAATGCTGAATATTTAATTAGGAGTGGAGATCTTATTCCGCACACAAAGCATAAAAGCAGATTCAAAACTATTCCTACAACGTAAATGTGCGCAAATCAGCAACTCCACTAAGCCGGCAAGCTGCAAAAAAATGGATGAAAGATGACCGAATTAAATGTTTCCTGAGAGTAAGTCCGGAAACCAACCGAAACACATTTCACTATAGGAACGCTGTTGGATCGGACACGTGAAGGTCACTCATGGAGGAGAGTTTAAAGAAGGCATGGTCCTAGTCAAATGAAGGTACTTTGCAAAGCTCTAAAGAACAACTCTGGGAATATTACAAAAAAAAAAAACACCCTTGTAGTGCGGCTACACCAGCACTGCAAGGGTTAAGTGCTCATTTTGTCCTCGGGGGCTCAAACAAAAAGCAGATACACTCCATTGATCCTCGATCCTGCAGCGCTCAGCACTCACTTCTCCCCACCACCACTCGGGCTGTGGAGTGTCCCTTTGCGCCA